GCGTCAGGGGGCTTTTGTGCACGATTTTTCGACCTCAACGGCGTCTTCGGGCGCCCTCGATGCGCTCAACGCCTTCGGCGCCACCCCCCGAGGCGCGCGTCGGGCGATGGACTCTAAGGGGGGCGGGCAACGCGATCCAACCCCTAAAACGGCGCGAGAGCGCGCGCAAAGCCCGCGCCGGCGCGCGCGAGGAGTCAACTTCCCAATAAGCGAGGCGGACCGGTCGTTAATCGGGAAAAGTACAATTACGGTCGCTACGACGCCGGGGACGCCTGGTCTTACCCCGGGGACGCAGGGCCGAAGCCAGAGGCGTCGATGGACGCCATTCGCGCCGTCGGCCCCGGCCCCGGCCGGTCGGCCGGCTGGCCGGCCGACCGTCGTCGTCGTCGTCGTCGTCGTCGCGCGCGCGCGTGGAGATTATAGCGGAGAGCAAGTCCATGGCTTCCTCGAACGTGCTCTAGACCACCTCCATGAAGCTGCGCAGCGCCCAGGCACCGGTTTTGCTCTGGAGCGCCTCCTTGCCGCGCGAAGCGCGAGAAGAAAAATTCGGCGGGATCCAGCGCGCGTAGCGGTCCAGAACCGGCGCAGCTGTACGTGCCGCTCGCGCGCTGCGTGCAAGAGATCGCGCCCTCGCCGGAGAACGAGCCCGCTCCGCGCAGCCGCCGCCGCCGCCGCAGAGGCCACTGCCACAAAGTCGCCGCACCCGCCCCGCGCGCAGCGCGGGAGAAAATTTCGACTTCGTCGCTGGCCAGAGCGTAGAAACGACCCTCGCGAACAGGTGTGAGGTCAGGCACGCAGCCCAGCAAGTCCACCGCGCGCAGCGCGCTGAGATGGTAGCGCCATGCTCTCACTCGGCTGTGGTATTTTTCGTCCGCACCTTCGCCGGGGTTTGAGAGAGGTACCCCGATCGATTTCGCCGGGGGGCGCCGCCCGAAGCCCAAAACGAAGAGGGTACCTTCCCAAAGCGTCTAGGAACCCTCCGCGGACGTAGGATTCGCCCGGGGACGTCTTTACGTGCTAGCGGACGCCTTATTGGGAAGTTGACTCCGAGACGGTGATGCCTGAGCAGTTCTGAGAGCTGTCAAGCTGGTGCCTGATCGACTTGGCCCGGGGTCGGCGAACTCTCGCCCGACAATTTGACCGGGGTACGAGACGCCCCAAACGCGCCCGCCCGGCCTGGACAAGTGTTTTGTGGGACTCGAACTCGATTCCCACGTCATGGACCACGCGGACCACGAGGGCTACGCCAGCGGCTCGGACGCGACCGTCGTCCCCGCGCTCCTGCGCCGAGGACCAGATCTTCTCGTGACTCAGCGTCTTACGAAACCCCTAGCAGCGCCGGGGCGCCTTCTGGTCGTGGCAAAAGTCGCGCGCGTCCGCGTTGACGGCGCAGACGCGGAAGTGCTGGCGGAGGAAGTTGCCCTCGCCCGCGATGAGCGCGAAGGAGTCGCCCGGCGCCTCGTCGCTCGGGCTCGACGCCGGGTCGGCGATCTGGAAGAGCTCGACGGCGCGGTCGCGGCCGTTCTTCCAGTGGCTCCGGTGCTTCGCGCACGGCGCGCGATCGAAGCAGCAGCTCGCCTTCGTGACGTCGACGACGCGGTGCAGGGCCTTGGCGTCGTTGAGCGCGAACTCCGCGAGGGCCATGGCGCCGGGCGCGTGGCGGAAGCCCCGGCGGGCCTTGGCCTTGCCGGGCTTCTTCGGCGCGTCGCCGGACTCCGCGTTGAGACTGTCCGCGCCCGGGTGGCCCGTCCAGTCGAGGGGCTCGGGCCCCATGTCGCGGCGCCGCGGCGCGGGCATGACGCGGTGCGGGAGCACGTGGTTGGGCACGGCGCCGTTGCCCGCGATGTGGAGCAGCTGGTTCACGTCGCGGACGTGGAGGATCTGGTCGCTCTCCGTGTAGAACACGAACTTGAAGCCGGCCCACCGCGGGTCGTGCTGGAGGGCCTGCTGCGCCGTGTAGAGCGTGGCGAAGCCCAGGCGCGACGGCTTCGTGATGTCGAAGCGCTTGAGGACGTCGTAGAAGCCGAGGCCGTTCGCCGCGTCCGTCACGTACGCGTGGTCCGGTTCCGTCGCGACGCAGACCGTGTACTTGGGGAAGGTCGGCTTCAGGGACTCGAGCGTGAGCTTGAGGTAGGCGCGGCGGCTCTCGAGGGCGCTGTGGCCGCTGTCGCCGCCGGCCGTCGCGTAGTAGGGCATGATGACGACGACGTCGTCGCGCGCGCGGCCCGACGGGTTCACGGCCGCGCTGTCGTGGTAGGTCCACTCCCTGAGCCGCCGCAGCGTCCGCGCCCTTAAGCTGTCGGCGTCGGCCTTGAAGCGCCGCTCGTACCAGGAGAGGTGCTCGATGAAGAAGTCGAACATGTCGACGGTCTTCAGGAGCCGGTTCTTGCGGAACATGGCGTTGGACGCGCCCTCCATGTTCGCCGCGCCCTCGAAGAGGCGCTTCTCCGCGACCTCGGACTTGAGGAAGACGGCCCGCGTGCAGAGGAAGGCCGCGCTGTAGGCCTCGCCCGTGTCCGGGCACTCGTAGGTGCCGGCGAAGCGCGACTCGTCGCCGGCCTCCTCGCTGGCGTTGAGGTGGTGCGTGCGGTCGCGCACCCACGACGCGACGTCCGCGCCGTGCCGCTCCCGCTTCTTCCCGTCCACGGCCGCGAGGGCGACGACGAGCCATCGCAGGACCATGATTATTACTTGTAGTGGCAGCGTACAATATAGAAATAGTACTTGGCAGCGTACTGCACGAAACACCCCCGGCGACCTGTGTTTTGGTGCAAATGTGTTACGCAGTTCGGCCGTAACTCGGGCTGCGTCGCGCGCGCGGACGAGCCCTTTTGCCAGGCCCTGGACACCCTCTCGGGGCGGCCCTCCGCCGCAAGAACGGCGGAAATCGACTCGGGTGGCGCGTTGATGTCGTCGCTCAAAGACGCGATTCGGGGCCGATTTTTGCTCGGGACGACTTTTTGACCCTCTAGGGCTGCCCGCCGCGCGCCGCGGCGGCGCCAAACTCTGCCCGGGGTACCGCGACGGCCTCGGGAAGCTCTCAAGCGGGGCAAACGACGTCGATCGCGCCGAGAACGGCTGGGGGGGACTCGGGATTGCCCGAACCCCCGAAACGCGTCCACTCGAGTTCGCATCGATGACGGCGGTTCCATCGATCCCTGGCGGCTGCGGAGGCCGTCACCATCCACACCAAGACCTGCGAAGCTCTGGCTGCGACTCGGAGTCCCATCCAGATCCCGCGCCACGTTGGCGTGCTCGGGCCGTTTTCGGCCCCGAGCCGCCATTTTTTCGTCGACGAGAAAACGCTGCGATTGTGCCATTTTTTTGTCTGGACCACCGAGTATGGTCATGGGGAGACGCGCGCGGGCCTTGAAAGCGCGAAAAACGACTCAAAAGTTGTCGCGTAAGGGCCAGTCCGGGGCTTGAAATCCGCCTCGAAAACCCTTAAATACCTCCCGAAACGCGCCGAAATGATCGAGCCCACACTAGCTGCGCTGCGTCAACCTGGGTCTGACCTAGGGCTCCCGCCCGGTGGTCTTGGTTTGCCGCCACACGCCCAGGACGTCGCGTAAGACGGCGCGCCCCATGCCCAAAACGCAGGTCGCCCTCGGCGTTTTGTGCAGGAAGTAGCGACTCCTCCAGCGGGGCGACGATGCCGTAAACGTGCACCTAGATTGCACCGCGCGCGCCGTAGGTACCCCCGGAACGTGCTGAGCACAACACGCGCGCGTTAGGTCTTCGAGCCGCCCGTCGTCGTCGACCCGCCGCCCCGGTCCTTCTTCGCCTGGGCCCGCTTCTTCTCGACGGTCGACGTGCCGTCGGAGACGACCGTGTCGCCGTCGTGCTCGGAGATGCCGTACTTCTTGCAGAGGCGCGCGGCCTGCTTGGCGAAGACCGTGAGCTCCGCGTCCGTGTAGTTGACGCCCGGCTGGAAGCCCGTGCGCGCCATGACCTCCTGCTCCGTCTCGGGCCGGTCGTCCGTGTTCGTGCCAAAGAGGTTCGACAGCGCGCCCTTGGCGGCCTTGATGGCCTTCTCCGCCGCCGTCTCCTTGTGCTCCTTGTACTTCTTCGGGTTGAACTTGATCTTGCGCCGCATGCGCGCGCGCTCGAGCGCGCCCTCGCGCGCGTCCTCCAAACGCCGCGCCTTCTCCTCGTCGCCGCGGAGCCGCAGCGCCTCCGGGTCGCGGATCGTCGCCTGCTCGAGCTTGAGCAGGGCCAGGGCGTCGCGCGTCGCGGGCAGCGGCGCCTCGTCCTCGTCCCAGACGAGGAGCTCGGGCTCGTCGCTGTCCTCCGACTCGGACTCGACCTCCTCGGCCTCGTCGCCGTCGGCCGTGCCCGCCTCGCCGGCGACGACGACGGCGGCGCCGTCCTCGCCGGGCGACGGCGGCGGCTCGTCGCCCGTCAGCAGCGACGGCTGCTCCAGGTCCCCGGAGCCGTCCTCGTCGCCCGCGTGGTCGCTGCTCAGGTCCGTGAACGCCTCCGACGCGGACTCGGAGCTCAGGTCCACGTCGACGTCGCCGCCGTGCTGGGCGAGCGCCTGCTCCGTGAGCACCTCCTCCCAGCCGTGGGGGTCGTCCACGGGCAGGTCATGCGGGAACCGGGCCTGCATGCCCGGCGGCAGCAAATTCTCGAACGTCGGCTCGTCCCACACGATCCCGTCCGTCTCCGTGTGGCGCCAGAAGGGCAGGTCGCTCCACTCGTCGTGGCACTTCTCGAACTTGTCCAGGTTCCAGTGGGCGAGCTCGATGGCCGCGACGCAGTCCGCGGCCCACTGGAGCTCGTCCTTGCGGCTCGCCCACCTGGGCAGGACAAGAGTGCGAAATTCCCAACTTCAAAGGCTCCTCTCTCGGCCATTTTCCACTCGTTTCGGCTGATCTTTGGACGAGCGATCATCTCTCGGAACGGTCTCGAAGCGTGGATGCTTTTCCCAGAACGTGCGCGCGCGAAACACTCACGTTGAAGCGACGTTGAATCACCCTTGTCCTGCCCTGTCGCCCACTTGTCGCGCGCGCGCCGCCGGACCTCGCGCCGCGTGTACTTCTTCCAGCCCTTGAAGACGTCGTGGACGCCGAGGCCGGCCCAGGCGGCGCTGATCTTGCGCATCTTCTCGTGCTCCTCGCGGATGACCTTCTCGGCCTTGGCCATCTCCTTGGACGTGTAGCGCTTCACCAAATCGACGGCGAGCTCCTCCGCGAGCTCCTTCTGCTCGCTGTCGAAGGTGTTCTGGAGGAAGCGGCCGACGAAGCCCGCGGGCTTGAAGCCCCGGCCGTAGACCTCCTGCTCCGCCTTGTTGCAGGCGATCTTGTGGTCCCGCTCCAGGATCGCGAGCTCGCCGTCCTCGGGCAAATTCTGCAGCGACCGCAGGAGCTCCTCGATCTCGCGCTGGGCGATCTCCTTGGCGTAGCCCACGGCGGCCTCCTCGCGGGGCTCGAGCTCCTCCCGCAGCTTGACGTAGAGCTTCTTCTCGCGGTCCGCGCGCCGCTTGTTGATTTTGACCTGCTTGACGTCGTGGTCGCGCTGGAGGTCCGCGACGCGCTTGTCGAGCTTGAGCTTCGAGCTCTTCTCCCAGCGGTCCTTGCGCCGCTGGTCCATCTCCTTCCGCGCCTGCTTGATGGCCCGGAAGTGGAAGCGCTCCTGGCCCTCCTCGCTGTCGCAGTACTGCTTCGCGGCGACGCGCGCGGACCTGCGCGGATTCCAAACCTTCAACCCGACTTCAATGTGCGCGTAATCGAACGATTTGGACCGGACTCTTTCGCTGTGCTTCGAGAACTCGACGAGAGCGATCGATTCGTCCAAAAATCAGCCGAATCGACTTCGATGTGACCGAGCTAGAGAATTCTCAAGTTTGGTCAGGACCACCCAAACCGATGGTCGGAATCCACGCTGGCGCGGACTCGAGCGTCTGCTCGATGGCCTGGTCCTCGCGCTTGCGCTGGTCGTGGTAGAGCTTCTCGCGCTGGAGCACGACGTGCATCTTGAAGATGTCGGCCTGGCGCTCGCACATCCAGCCCTGCTGCGGCGGCACGCAGACCTTGCGCCTGCCGCGCTTGTCGACGCACGCGCACCGCCGGAAGTAGCACTTCTGGTTCCGGATGTAGACGCGGCCCTCGGCGTCGCGGTAGTTCTCCAACACCTTCTCGATCTCCTCGCGCTGGAAGGGCAGGGACGTGCAGCGGCCCTTCTTCGCCCGCTTCTCGTCCCAGACGTCCTGGAGCGCGGGGATCGCGTCCTTCCAGAACGCGTCCATGACGATCTGGTACCAGTGGTCGTCGGAGCGGAAGACGTTGGGCTCGAAGTAGGCCGGGGACGTGACCTTGGGCGTCGTCTCGACGATCTGCTCCATGACGTCCTGGATCGTCGTCACGATGCGGTGCCGCCGGATGAACAGCGCGTGCTTCTGGCGCCGCTTGAACCAGTCGCGCACGGGGCCCGCGCCCATGATCAGCTTCGCCTGCGTCGGGTACATCATGCCCGTGTTGCCCTCCATGTGGAGCTCCACGAGGCTCGTGAGCATGTAGAAGTTCCAGGGCAGCGCCGCGATGGGCTTGTTGTGGTCGAGCCAGAGCGCGCGGAGCTTGGGCATGGTCGAGATCGACTCGGGGATCTCGCCGATCTGGTTCGCGCAGAGCTTGATGGACATCAAGGACTTGGAGCTGCCGATGTTCATCGGCAGCGCCTTGAGCTGGTTGTCGTTCGCGCTCAGCAGCGACAGGTTCGCCATGTTCACGAGGCACCGCGGCAGCGACACGAGCTGGTTGCAGTTGAAGGACAGCGTGTGGCAGGTCATGCGGCTCAGCGTCTCGGGCACGCGCCGGAGCCGGTTGCAGTCCGCGATGACGCGGTCGAGCTTCGTCAGATTCCCGAAGGTGATGGGCAGCGTCTGGAGCCGGTTCGTCGCGATCTGGAGCGACTCGAGGTTCACGAGGTCGCCTAAACGGTTCGGCAGCGCCTCGAGCCGGTTCCGCAATAAATTGACGCTCTTGAGGTGGATGAGGTCGCACACGGAGTCGGGCAGCTCCGTGAGCAGGTTCGACGACAGCGTCAGCGTGTCGAGCTTCGTGAGCACGAGCCCGACCCGCCGCGGGAACTCCGTGAGCTCGTGGGCCACGAGGCGCAGCGCCACGAGGGGCCGGCCGTAGGTCTTGGAGAACTCGTAGAGGTAGGGGTGGATCGTGCCCGTGCGCTTGTTGAGCATGTTGAGCTCGCCGGACTCGCCGGCGAAGTCGAAGGCGTCCTTCCACAGCTTCTGGAACGCCGCCTCCTCGGCCTCGATGCGCGCGATCTCCGCGCGGCGCCGCTCCTCGCGGTGCTTCGCGCGGACGATGTCGACCAATTTCGTCCGGTCCCAGCGCTCGCGCAATTTCCGCGACGCGATGTGGGCCCGCTCGAGGCGCAGCGCCGACGCGAACTCGGGCTCGGGCGGCTGGAGCGGCAGGCCCCCGACGACCTGGGGGATGGACCACGTGCTGTACGCCGGGTCGTCGCGCTTCGTGTAGTAGTACTCTCCGCTGCGCGCGTCGACGTACTTCTGGAACTCGTGGGTCTCGAGCTGGAGCCTCCGCCGCTTCTTGCGCCAGATGCTCTGGAGCTTGACCGTCGCCATGTGCTCGTGGACGCTCCCCGTGAGCACCTCCCAGAGCATGAGGGGCCGGTCCACCTTGCTGAACTTGACGTCGCCGGGCTTGGCGTAGGCCTGGGGCAGCGTCGGGTCCTCGACCTCGGCCATCATGTTCAGCTGCATGGCGTCGCGGCCCATGAGGGCCGACCGCTGGCCCCCGCGCCGCGCCATGGTCGACGGGCCGGGGCTGGGTTGGGCACAGCCTAGGGCCAGTCTATTTAACAATCCTCAACCGGGAGCCGGTTTGGCAGACCGCAAGGTAAATGTTGGCTGGCTGGCTGGCTCGGTCGCTGGCAGCCACCCATTTCTTCAATGTAGACGTTGCATGTGCAAATCTTGCGATTTTCGCGCGGGAATCATGTCAAAATCTAGTTAGGCGCCCGGAGTGGCCCGCCGGGGGTGACGGAAGCGCGAGCGCCGACGCGCGTGGCCGGCGGCCAGCCGGTCGCCGCAGCCGCCCCAGGACGGCGCGGCGCGCCGTAGGCGCGCGTTGTAGAGGTTGTAGCGAGGGGTCGTTTCGTGGACTGGACGTCCCTGGCTGGCTGGCTGGCTCGGCCCCCGGCGGCTGGCTGCTGTCTTGGCCTGCCCTTGGCACAGCGTCGATCGGCGGTGCACCGTCTGGATTGTTGCACGGCTCCTTCGGCCTCGCGGCCGCCGCCGACCTGCCGATAGGGATCAGGCCGACGTGCTCGGCAGACCTTCCACCATGCGACCCTCGCTCCCGAGCACGCTCTTCATCGCGGTGCTGCTCGTCGTCGACGGCCAGCCGCTCCTCGCGCAGGAGCACACGCTCCCGACGCGGGCGAAGAAGATGTCGCAACGCGTGACGCCGAGGCTGCGGTCCATGGACGATTTCACGACCCTCGCCGTCCAGCGCGCCAGCCTCACCCACGACGCCTATCGCGCGGCGGCGCCGTCGACGTGGATCTTCCTCATCGGGGCCTATCGGACGTTCTACTACGTGCGGCGCTCCGTGAAGAAGTTCGCGGAGCTCACGGCGCCCGGCGACTACGCGGTCGCGCTCGTCTGCTGGGACGACGAGCGCCTCGAGAACGTGAAGCTGAACAAGTACGGCTGGGGCTCGAAACAGTTCAACGAGGCGAACGTGCGCGCGGCCTTCGGCGGCGAGAAAACGCTCGCGGCGCGGCTCGCCGACGACGCGGCCTTCTTCGGCGGGCGCCTCGTCCTGTGTGGAAATCAAATCTTCAACCCGACTTCAATGTGCGCTCATGCGACCGTTTCGACGCAATGCTTTCTGCTGTGCTTCGAGAACTCGATGAGAGCAATCGATTCGTCAAAAAATCAGCCGAATCGACTTCGATTTGACCGAGATAGAGAGTAACTCTGAAGTTTGGTGGGGGGGGCCCAAACCAGCGGTTGATTTCCACACAGGCCTCGTCTACCGCGCGTTCGCGCGCCGGGGCGTCCTCGTGAGCGGCGTCACGTGGGAGAACTACGCGTTCCTGAACCGCGAGGCCTTCCGCCTCGCGCGCGGCGCGCGGGCGGCCCTCCTCGCGGCGGGCGCCGCGCCGGCGCCGGCGACCGAGATCGTCGTGCGGTCGCGGCCCGACGTCTGCCTCGAGCGCGGCTTCGACCTCCGGGAGGTGCGGCGCCGCTACGACGCGGGACCGGCGGCGCGGGACCACGTCGCGTACGGGCAGCTCGTGGACGGCGACATCTTCCTCATGACGTCCTGGGACCTCTTCGAACGAGACATCGCGGGGCCGCTGCTCGACCCGCCCGAGACGCCGTCGCTCGACGTCTCCATCGCGCTCCGCAACATGTGGCAGTTTACGCGGGCCCACCTGCCCGACCCGGAGGTGAACCCCTGGGCCGAGCTCTACCCGGAGCGCTGCGCGGCGGGGACCGCGCCGTGCGCGATGCGCATCATGGAGGCCACGCGGGCGCACTGCCTCGTGCGTTTCGGCACGGCATTGCAGAACAGGAGCGAGATGGGCAGGCCCATCGACGGCATCCTCGAGCGCCCGACGACGCGCGACCCGGCCCGGGAGGCCAGGTGCCAGTACCCCGCGGCGATCCACTTCCGCGCGAACCCGCGGCTCGACAAGACGCCCCCGCTCTCGCGCGCGCTGCCCGGCGGCTTCGGCGCGCTCCGCGACAAGCGCGAGGACCGGGGCATCACCGCCGCGACGTGCCCGGACGCGTACTAGGGCATGCGAGGGTAAAAAGGGGTCGTACGCGGGAGGGGTCCGTCGAGGGGTCGGTTCGCTTGTGTGCATGGCGGCGCGTGTGTGCATGGGCGGGTGGTGACGATGATGTGCAGGGGCGGCGCGCGCGCTTTCTTTGTGCAGGGCGGCATGGGCGGGCGGGCGCCTAGGCGCGCTTTGGCCTCATGCCGCCGCGGCGGAACGTCGGCACCGGGCGGACGGCGATCGCGAGCTCCTGCGGGGGGGAAACCGGGCGTGGGGGCGCGGTGCGGCGGGCCGCCGGGGACGCGGCGAACGCGCGGCCCGCTGGAACGTCGCCTCGTCGATGATCTTGGGGATCTGCGCGAGCCGCTGCTCGCAAGACAGCTCCATCTGCGTCGTGTCCGTAGCTGATGCCAGCGAGGCGGCGAAGGCGACGAGGAGTGCGATGAGCTTCATGGCGGGTAACCTGCGGGGCGCGGCGGGTGCGCGCGCGGCGCTCGGCGGCGCGAGGGGCGGCCGGGCGGCCGGGTGGGCGTACGATTCTGAGGCTGTCAGCCGTTACCAGCTGTTTTGCGCTTCGAAACGTTACCGGGCGGCGATTTCGAGCGGCGCGGCGGGGCGGGGCGAGTGCGCGCTGGGAGGTGGGATTGGTGCGGACGCAGCAGAAGCGCACCGAATCCTCGAGCAGATTATTCGCGCAGCGACAGCAGTCGGTTGAAGGGCAGAAGCGCTTCGCGTGATTGGCTCGGGCCGACGGCACCGACTTCATCTTCGACACGTTGAACCTTACGCGTCCTTCCCCGCGCCGGAGCCGCGGCTCCGCAGCGCCGCCGACACGAGCGCCACCACCCCGCCGCCCGCGGCCCAGAAGCCGAGGCGGTCGTCGGGGGCCAGGAGCGCCGCGTCGAAGAGGACCGCGCCCGACCGGGGCCTGGGCAGGACAAGAGAGATTCGACGTCGCTTCAACGTGAGTGTTCCGCGCGCGCGCGTTCCGGGAAAAGCATTCACGCTTCGAGACCGTTCCGAGAGATGATCGCTCGTCCAAAAATCAGCCGAAACGAGTGGAAAACGGCCGAGAAAGGAGCCTTTGAAGTTGGGAATTTCGCTCTCTTGTCCTGCCCTGACCGGGGCCCGAGCGTCACCCGGTCCGCGGCGCCGCAGCGAAAGTCCCAGGGGTCGACGTAGGCGCCGCCCAGGGGCACGTCGAGGTCCACCAGGTCCGACGGGTTGTAGAGCGCGACGCCGCGGTCGAAGACGCGCCGGTAGGTGAAGTGCTCCGGGACGCGGTACGCCTCCAACAAATCCCGCGTCTCCCGCGGCGCGCCGACGTCGAGGAACAGAACCGGGTGGAGCCAGGGCGCGACGGTTCCCGTCGTCCCGCGGTGGAAGGGGTGGACGCCGAGCGCCAGCGGCCCAGACGGGTCGCGCACGGCCAGGAGGAACGACGCCCAGTACGCGAGGGCCCAGCCGTGCACATCGCCGTCGCGCTGGTGCTCCTGGGCGACGGTCTTCCAGCCCGCCTGGCCGACCTTGACGAGGACGCCGTAGCGCCGCGCCGCCGCGTGGGCGGCGACGCGCACGTTCGCGCGCCAGAACTCCGCCGGCGGCCGCGTCGTCTCGAACGCGCAGCCGTCGCCTACCGGGAAACCTTCGACGCGACGTCGCCGAAAAAAAGGAGCGGCGCCGCGCCCCCGCCGCCGAGCCAGGAGCCGCAGCCGTCGCCCTCGGCCTCGTTGAAGCCGAAGAAGGACTCCATGTTGAAGCCGTCGAGCGACGCGTCGCCGAGGTGGTCCTGCGTCGCGTCCATCTCGTAGTGGAGGACGCTCTGCGCCGGCGCGGCCTACGATCGCGCCGCGTCCCCGGCTTGGGACGCCGTCTCCGACCCGTCCCCGCGATCCGGCGCTCGAAAAACGCGGAGCTCGGAGCCCCGTCTCCTCCGGACGCCCGCGGCGGTCGCGATGCGAAACGCGCGGAGCTTCCGGCGCCGCGCGGGACTGCGAAGGGCGCCGGCGGCGCGTGGGTCGCGACGGCCCACGCCGCGTCGCGGAGGTCCGCGTCGAGCGTCGCGAGGCGCGCGGCGTCGCGGGCCGCGCGGTCTTTGAGGTACGCGGCGGATATTTCGCCGATCTGCGCCGCGCGCCAGTAGTAGCTGTGCTTGAGGCCGTTGGCGTAGAGCGCCGTGCCGTTGCCCGCCGCGGCGCGCGCGGCGGCGAGCCGCGCGCGCTGCGCCGCCGCGGACCGTTCGAGCTTGCAGAGCTTGAACTCGCGGCGGTTGCATTTCTCCCGCCGTTCGTCGTGGCCCGCGAAGGCGGTCCGCAGGCACGCGCGCGCGCTCTCGCCGCAGGCCGCGCGCGCGCGAAAGGCGGGCCGGAGCTCCGCCGTGTGGAGCGCCGCGCCGTCGGCGTCGCACGCGCCGTAGACGTTCGCGCCCAGGTTGTCGTACCACGTCCCGTCCAGGCCCAGCGCTTGATCGCGCGACGCGTAGGCCGCGACGCAGGCCGCCGCGGCGGGCGACGCGTAGTCGAAGGCGTACTGCGGCGGCGCGTAGAGGCAGTCGCGGCCGCCGTCGAGGACGCCGCCGTCGAGGAACGCGGGCGCCAGGACGGCCGCGCCCGCGGGGGCCGCGCGGCGGCCGCCCGTCGGCGCGGCGCCGTCGCGCCGGAGCGCGAGCACGCAGGTCCCGTTGGGCCCGCTCCGCGTCGATACGACGGTCGCGACCTCGCCGTCGACCGCCACGAGCGACCGCCGCCGGAGCACGCCGCGCCGCTCCGCGGAGCGGTCGCAGAAGCTCGCCTCGCGGTCCAGCGCCGCCGGGTCGCTCGCGGCGACGGGGCAGGGGTCGTCGAGGCGCCGCCGGCCGTCGCGGTTCCCGCGCGCCGCGAGGCCCGCGCCGCGGCCCCGGACGCGGATCTCCGCGGCGCCCGCGGCCGCGCGCGCCGCGAGCGTCGCGGCCTCGTACCAGGCGAGCGTGCCGTCGTCGCGCTCGAGGCGCGCGCGCTTCTCGGCGTCGCCGTAGCCCAGGCACGAGTCCGCGCCGCGCGGGTTCGTGCCGCGCGGGTTGTGGTAGAGCACGACCTTCGCGCCGCCGGCGCGCGCGAGCGCCGCGGCGTCGCGCAGCGTCAGCGACCGCTTGAGGAGCGCGTCCTCGACGACGCGCGCGGCGCTGTAGGCACCGTCGGGGCCCGCGACCTCGCCGATGACGCAGACGACGCGCAGCGCCGCCGCGACGGCCGGCGCCAGGGACAGGCCGCCGAGGCGGTTGCGGTGCACCTGCGCCCAGATCGGGTAGCTCGGCGTCGTCCGCCAGGCGACGCGCGGGCACCGCGTCGCCCAGGGCGCCGGCTTCGACCGCGAGGCTGCCGACGTTGCGAGGAGCAGCCATCGGAGCACCATCGTGTTTCTGAACCTTGCCGTAAACTTGCAGTAATGGGGGCACAAAAGCGGCCGCGCCGGACGGCCGCGCGCGCGGGGCGCGCGGTTCGTCGCGGGCCTCAGGGGCGGGGGAGGAGGCCCGGCGCGTCGCGGACGGCGTCGAGGTCGTAGGCGTCGTAGGCGCGCGTCGCCGCCGGGGGCGGCGCGAGGAACGCGGGCGCGTCCTCCCGCTCCTCCGAGTCGGCGTAGTAGGCGACGAGCGCCGCCGGCGCGTCGACGGCGTCGCTGAAGCACGCGGCCTCGTAGGACGCGTCCGCGGCGTCGCCGCCGTCGCGCCGCGCGTCGCGCGCGTCCAAACCGCGCGCGTCCTCGGCGTCGTCCATGAGTTCGACCTCGCTGTCGTCGAGCACCGCCGCCGGGGGCAGCGTGAAGTGGAAGACGCGGTCCTCGTCGTCCGCGGGGTCGTCGAGGTCGCTCGACTCGTAGTCCGATCCGGCGCCGAAGTCGTCGACGTCGACGGACTCGTAGTCGTTGAGCTCCTCGGAGAAGCCGTCGTCGTCGACGTCGCCGTGGGCGCGGTCGAGGCCCTCCTCGGAGAAGTAGTGGTCCGAGTTCGCGGCCGCGTCCGACGCCTCGCCGAACGACGGCGCGGGCGACGCCGCGAGCGCGGGCGACAGCACGAGCGGCACGGGCGACGGCGGGCGCGGCGCGCCGTCGTCCCAGAAGCGGCGGCCGCAGTCGAGCCCCTTCAAGATCTCCGCCTCGACGTCGCTGTCGGGCGTCACCGGCGTCGCGGGCGTCCACGCGGGGCTCCGCGCGAGTTGCGACATGAGGCGCCCCACGAGGCCGCTCGCCGGCGGCGACGCGGCCCGCGAGCTGCGCCGCGCGCCGGAGAAGCGCAGCGCCTTCGCCGGGGTCGCGCTCGCGACGACGACGGGCGACACGGCTTCCCGGATGTTCCGCATGGCCGCGAGGGCCGCCTGGGCGCTCGCGACCTGGGACCGCATCTTCGCCGCGTCCCGGCTACTGTAGAACGCGACGGCCGCGGGCACGGCGTCGTCGTGCGCCACGGCCACGGCGCGCCCGATGGGCACCGCCATGGGCGTCGCAGCGCTCGGAGAGCCCGCGCTTTCTCAACGTGTTTTCTGCTCCTTTGGCATGTTGCCTTTGGCTTTTACACACCTTGAGTGACTGGGTCTGGGCAGCCTCTGCGGCGCAGGCATGCGCGCAGGCCTGCTCTGTCTCGCGGCGTGCGCGCTCGGGCGAGAAACCGAGCTCATCCCCAAGGAGGGCGACCCGCTGGCGCCGGCGGGGGACCTCGCGCCGTCGGCGCCGCCGCTCCTGGACGAGGCGCTGTCGCACGCGCACAACCAGCGGATCGCTCAGCTCGAGCGCAACGCCAACGCGAAGCGCGCGGAGCGCACGGCCTGGCTCGGCACGGAGGAGGGCGCGTGGCACAAGCACGGTGCGTCCGTTCGCGCGCGCGCGACGCCGCCTATGAGCGCGCGCCGAACGCAGGCATGGTCTACCCGTGGCTGCTCTTCGCGCCCTACTACCCGTGCCTCTGGACGCTGTCCAAGGTGCCGACGGTGACGCGCCTCAAGGACGGCGGCAAGTGGGTCTGCGGCGCGCCGGAGCTCGAGGCCGCGCGCGCGGCCGACGAGGCCGCGCGCTGCGTCGCGTACAGCTTCGGCAGCCGCGGCGACACCTACTTCGAGAGCGCGCTCGTCGAGGCCGCGCCGTCCTGCGAGATCCACACCTTCGACAAGACGACCGTGGCCCAGCCCCACAGCCTCGCGACGTTCTGGGACCCGAAGGCGACGCCCGAGCCGGACCCCGTGGACCGCTTCTGGTTCCACCGCGGCTACCTGCTGCCCGAGGACGACGCGGCGGTGCCCGGGTGGACGCTGGCGACGATCATGGACGGGCTCGGGCACAGGCACGTCGACATCCTCAAGGTCGACGTCGAGGGCTGGGAGTTCCGGGTCTTCCAGAACATCTTCAACGGCACGCGCGCGCCGCCGCGCGTCGGCCAGATCCTGCTCGAGGTCCACCCGGAGCGCTCCTTCGGCCCCGCGGACATCGACGACTTCTTCCGCCTCTTCGAGGACCTCGGCTTCCGGCTCATCTCCCTGGAGCCCATCGGCGCGAACGTCATGCCGCCGCACCCGGGACAAAAGGAGCAGACCGCGGCCGAGGTCGTCTTCGTCCACCGGTCCTGGACCCCCGAGGGCTTCGCCCGCGCGCGCCGCGGGCACCCGCGGCAGCACCGGGACCCGCGGCCCGCGGACGTCCGTCGATCGCGCGCGCGCGTCCGAGTTTAGTCGGGCCGAGTTTAGTCCGTCGGCGCCGCGAACATGGGGTTCTTCTCGCCGTAGGAGACGTAGGCGTCGTTCGCGACGGTGTAGGTCGGCTCCGTCGCGTCCGCGGCCGGATCGAAGTAGACCGCGTGGATCTCCCGCTTGAGCAGGGCGGACCCGCGCCTACCAAGCACGACGGTGACAATTTTTCATTGCTTTCCCACCCCGAATCTCTCGAAAAATCGTCACAGGACGCGGACCCGCGCTCCTCGACGACGTCGAACTTGAGCAGCGTCGGCTTGAGCTCCATGCAGCCGAGCGACAGCGCGACGGCGAAGAAGTGCCTGCGACGCGCGCGCGGGTCCCCGCGGCGACGCGCGACGCAAGGCGGCGCGACGTCCGAAATGCGTCCGCTTGGGACGGGCCGCATCGAGTCCGCCCGAAGGACGCGGGCGCGCGCTCGAGCCGCAGCTTCTTCTTCTCGCCCTTGGCGACGCCGAGCGCGCCCGGCCCGAGGAGGTCGCGGACCGCCGCGATCATGCCCTTCTCGCCGCCGTGCTGCGACGGCCCCGTGTACCCGAGCCAGAAGCCGTCGTGGAAGTTCGCGAGGGCGTAGACGTCGCCCTTGAAGCGCTTCTTCCCGACGGTCAGCGTCACGGTGAAGACGGCGGACTGGCCCTCGCAGCCGCCGCACTCGCGCCACGCGTCGTCGGCCTCGGCGTGGTCCCAGCGGCCGCCCTTGTTCTCGTAGATGTCCGTCGTGTCGAAGGACGTCGCCACGGCGAGCGTCGCGTCGCTGTTGACGGTCCAGACGGCTTTTGCGGTGGCGTTGCGGTGGAGGTAGCGGCGGGTGGGGGTCGGCTTCTTGACCTCGCACGTCGGGCGCGCGGGCTCGAAGCTCGTGAGCTCCAGCAAATCAAGCCAGTCGACGTCGGCGACGACGGGCCGGAGCTCGTCGAGGATCTTGGCCTGGAGCTTCTGCAGCTTCTTCGTCGGCTTTTTTTCCGTCTTCTGCGGAGCCTTGGTCGCCTTGGTCGCCTTGCTCACCGTCGCCTTCTTTGCCGCGGCGGGCTTCTTCTTCTTCTTCGGCGCGGGCTCCGCCGGCGCGGGCGCGGGCGGGCGCGCCCTGGGCGTGGCGGCGACGGGGGCCGGCGGGCGGCTCCGCGACGCGCGGCTCGCGCGCAGGCGCGCGACGGCGTCGGCGTCGCCGAGCGCGATGGGCTCCTCGAACATCTTAAATTTGCGGTCCGAGTACTTGAACCACAGCGTGTGGGCGTCGCGGCGGGTGACGTAGCCTGCATACCACTCTCCATTCACCTCGTAGTCGACGTAGTCGCCGGGCTGGGCGTCGTCCATAGTCTCGTGATAGTTGCTTCAAGTGGTGGGCAGCGTGTTCAAATTGAACTTCAATACGGACTTCATTCATTCGACGACCTCAGTCGGGGCGCGCGCTATCCAGCTTGTTCGCGCTGCCGTCGTTGCAAGGATCAAAAATGCCGCGCGACGTGCGCGTGTCGCTCTACGACGTCCTGGGCGTCGCGCGCGACGCGTCCGCAGCGGAGATCAAGCAGGCCTACCGCAAGCGGGCGCTGCTCAGCCATCCCGACAAGAATCCCGGCGATTGCGACGCCGTCGATCGCTTCCTGCGCGCGACGCTGGCCTATGAGATTCTTCGTGATCCGGCGAAGCGCGAACGCTACGACGACGGCGACGGCGACGAGGCGACGATCTTCGCCGGCCGCGGCTTCGACGGCGCCTGCGACCTCTTCGACGCGAACGTCGGCGACCGCCTCATGCGCCAGTGGCGGCCCGGCGCGGTCGTGTCCGGCGTGCTCGTCGCACACGGAAAGCGGACGTGGATCACCATCCACGCCGACGGCTCGACGACGGAGCGCGAGCGGCGGGAGGCGCTCGCGATCGAAGAGGCGCTGCCCGACTGCGGCCACCGCGGCTGCGGCAAGGCGCCCGTCTTCTTCTCGTCCATGAAGGTCGAGGAGGTCGCCGCCGACGGCACCTTCGAGCTCGCCAGCTCGTGGAGCGCGAGCTGCGACGCGCGCGTCGCCGCGGACGGCTCGCCGCTCGCGCTCACGCACGCGTGGGGCGCGAGCTGCGAGCGCATGCGCCCGACGCCCGTCGCCTGGGACACGATGTCCCTGCGGCGGCGCGCGAGGTAACGTTTAGTAAATACTTTGGTCGCCATACCAGTCAAGTGGTGGGGAGCTGATTTTGATCGCCTGTGCCAGGCTGGGCATCTCTGTGGCGAAAGCGGAATCGAGCGCCAAAATATGGAGTCGCCGTCGGTTAATGAAGACGCGTGTGTGGCCGTATCGAACAATAATGAGGAGAAGCTGCGCGACGCGCTTGGGCGCGGCGCGGACCCAAACTTCCGATTTCGCGATTCGAGAGCGGATTTCACTTTGCTCACGTACGCCGCCTGCTTCGGGTTGGACGGATGCTGCTATTTGCTCTTGGCACGAGGCGCGGACCCGAATCTTTCAGACGGGTGTATAGCACCCCTACACGGTGCCTCTTCTTCTTCCAGTTGGCGAACGGGCGAAGGGCCGACTGTAGTCGCCGAGCGGTGTGCGTGCGTACGCCATCTTCTGGACGCGGGCGCGGACCCAAACCTTCTTGACTCGTATGGAGAAATCGCTCTCCACCTCGCTTGTAGTACAGACGCGGAAATAGAAACGGTAAAGCTTCTCATTCAGCGCGGTGCGAACGTCGAATTGAAAGACGGATCCGGTTTTACGCCTTTGGCATGCGCCGTCGTCGACAATCGCCGGAACAAGGCCTTATTCATGCTTCGCGCCGGCGCGAGACCGCAAGCCTTGCTGTACGGATTTGTCACCCCGCGTAACTGTGACATCAACGACTACATGATCAACATACTGAACGACGGCGGCTGGGCGGCGCGCGCGCAGAAACACCAGGACGCTTGCCTGCGCGTGGTCTCCCGCTGCGCGCCGCTCCCTCGCGACGTCATGCTCTCCATCGTCTCCTACTGGTCGCTCCCACACTAGAGAATTCGCCGGGGTGCCACATGAAATAACTTAGGACCCCCCGCCCGCCTCATCCACGTCGAAGCCCGGGTAGCCGGACGAGAACGTCGACTCGCGCATGCTCCGGCCCGGCGGCGGCTTCGCGACGACCTTGGAGTGCATCCGGAAGTCGCCGATCGCCGCCGACGTCGGCTTCGGCGTGCGCTCCAGCGCCGCCCGCTCGGCGTTGACGCGGACCTCGCGCGCGCGGCCGACGCCGCGGCCCGTCCGCTGCGGCAGGCTCGCGAGCGCGTCGTCGCGCGCGGAGCTCGCGTGCATCTGCAGGAGGACGGACCGCCGCTCCAGCGCGACCTCGAGCGCCCGCGCCTCGAGCCGCCGCAGGTCGTCCTCGAGCGCGCCGACCGTCGCCACGCGCGACGTCTCGCGGTCCCGGAGCCCCTCGGCCAATTTCCGCCGCTCGCGGATGCGCTTCGCGGCGGCGTCGCGCTCGTCGTCCTCCGCGAGGCGCGCGGCCGTCCGCGCCGCGGTCTCCGGCGGCGGCGCGCCGGAGTCGCCGAGGCGGCTCGACACCTTGGCCGCCAGGGGCGGCGGCCCTTTTTTGGCCTCCGCCTCGTCGACGGCCGCGTCCTCGGCGCGCGCCTTCGCCATCGCGCGCATGACCTCCTCCACCGACGGCTTCGGCCGCCGCCGCAGCAGCTTCTGGGCCACGGTCGTCGCCCGCGACTGGACCCAGAACGCCGCGAGCTTCGTGGGCCAGCGCTTCCGGCCGCGCGCGTTCTGGCACGTGAGAGCGTGCGCGGGCGCGTCGACCGCGCAGCAGGTCCGATCGCAATAAAAAACAACCCCGCAGAGGTGGCAGGGCCGCATGGGCGCGCCGTCGGACCCGTAGAAGGACCGCAGGCCGCAGGCGTTGCACTGCGCGAGCGCGACCGCGGAGCCGACGCGGCCCTCCCAGCGGTCGTGCTCGTCGCGCTCGCGGCGCCCTTTCGAGGTCAGCTGGTCCCGCGCCGGGTCCCGGTCCGTCGCCCCCGTCCAGGCCTCGCGCCGCCGCGGCTTCGCCTCCGCCCGGTCGTCGTCGTAGAGCGCGGTCCGCGCGGCGAACGCGTCGACGACGTTCCTGCCCTCGACGCCGTGCTCGCGGAGCCGCGACGCCTTCTTGCGGTAGATGCCCTCGAGGGCCTTGCGGATCTTCGCGTTGTAGAGCCGGTTCTCCCGGTCCGCCTTTTTGCGGCGCGCGGCCGCGTGGCAGTGCTTGGGCTGGCCCGTCGGCGCGGGCCGCGTCCGCATCGTCGGCTTCATCTTCGCGATCTTGCCCCCGAGCTCCCGGTTCCGCCGGTCGCGCTCGTCGGCGAGCACGCGCCGCTTGTAGGCCGACTGCCAGCTCAGGGCCTTGCCCCGGAAGGGCGCCCGGTCGACGTAGGCGTCGTCGAGGCGCCGGTCCGCGCCCTCGAGGCGCGTCGACCGCACCTCGCGCAGCGCGTTGAACACGGCGCCGAAGAGCGTAAAGTCCGCGGGCGTGTGCTCGCAGAGCTCGGCGCCGACGGCGACGACGGCGCAGTCCGTGATGGTCACGCCGCCGAGGACGCCGGGGACGAGGTCCGGGCAGGGGACACCGCGGTCCTCGAGCTGTTTGGACGTCGCCAGCGCGCCGCGGGACGCGCCCAGCAGGCCGTCCTTCGTCGCGCGCGCGATGCGCGGGTTCGGGATGCCGAAGACGCGCCCCGTGATCGCCAGCGTCGCGCCCTTGTCCAGCACCTCGACGTGCGTGATCCGCACCTTGGCCGCGTCCGCGCGTCCCCGCGTCGCGAGCCACGCCCGCAGCGCGGCGTCCGCGGGCTCCGCGAGGCCGCCGTCCAGGGCCAGCAGCAGCCGGTCCGTCGTCGCCTCGACGGCCGCCGTGCCCGCGAAGCGCACGGTCGTGCAGCCGCCGAGGTGGTGCTTCCGGAGCTTGTCCTGCCTGTGTGGAAATCAACCAGTGGAACGCCCTGTCCGGCAAAAACTTGAAACCTCTCTATCTCGATCAAATCGAAGTCGATTCGGCTGATTGTTGGACAAATCGATTGCTCTCGTCGAGTTCTCGAAGCACAGCTGAGGTGCTTGTGTCGAACCTTTCGAATAAGCGCACATTGAAGTCGGGTCGAATATTTGATTTCACACAGTGTCCCGCTCCACGAAGTCGCGGTCGCAGAACGCGCAGCGCGGGCACGTCGACTTCCAGATGGCGAAGGCCTCGGCCGAGTAGGCGTCGCGCGCCGCGTCGCTCGAGGTCGCGTCCGGGAGCGGCAGGTGGGGCGGGTCCGGCGGCGTCGCCCTCGCGACGGCCAAAGGCGGCGGGTCGTCGCCGAAGAGGTCGCGGTCGCGCGCGACGCGTAGCGCGGCCGCCGCGTCCTCCCGCCACCGCTCCAGGCACCGCGGCACGTGGAGCCGCACGCTCGCGACGAGGCAGCGCCGGCCGCAGAGGTAGCAGACGACGCCCGTCGTCTTCGGGGGCGGCGCGACGGAGTCGTCGTCGGCGGCGGCCGGCGGGCAGCACGCGGCCTCGTGCTTGCGGAGCGCCGCGGCGCCCGCGGGCGTCGCCCCGAAGCGCGCGCCGCAGCCGGCGCACTGGGGCGCGGCGACGCAGGATGTGGCGTGGGCCGCGAGCTTGCGGCCGTCGGCGAAGGTCCGCCCGCACGCGCCGCACGTCGCCGGCGCGGCGCTCTCGAGCTGCGCGAGCGCCGCCGCGGACCAGGCCGCGAGGACGGCGTCGGACGCGCCCGGGCCCGGGAGCCGCGCGAAGGCCATGTCCGGCAATCCCCGGCGCCAGGCCGTCGGGCGGTAGCGGTCCCGGCGCGCCCAGCGCCGCCGGCAGGCCGCGACGTGCTCAAGGATGGACCGCTCGGACTCGCGCGTCGACCCGCAGGTGTAGCACATGCGCACGAGGGGCCGCTCGGAGAAGGCCTCCTCGCCCGTTTCCTCCGCCTCCTCGTCGTCGTCGTCGCCGTCGCCGCCGTCGTCGTCGTCGTCGAGGAGGTCGTCGTCGCGCGCGTCCGGCGGCGCCGCCGGCGCCTCGTCGCCGATGTCGTACTCGAGCAGCGCGGGCGGCGCCGGCGGCGGCTTCTGGTCCGCCGCGGGCACCTCGTCCTCGACGGCGCGCCACTTCTCGAGGCACGCCCGGTAGTGGAAGGGCAGCGACTTCTTCGAGAGGACGCGCTTGCCGCAGAGGTGGCAGACGACGCCGCCCTGGGTGTCGCCCGTCGGCGGCAGGTCCGCCTCGAAGTCCGCGAGCCGCTTCGCGCTCTCGCGCTTTGCCAGGATCTGCGGGCAGCAGCTCGCCATGTGCTTGAGCAGCTTCGCCTCGCCCTCGAACGTGCGGCCGCACCTCTCCCCGGGGCACGTCGCGGCCGCGGACTCGCGCCTCGCTTTGACGGCGTCGTTCCAGGCGGCGACGGCGTCCGGCGACGCGTCGACGGTCGGGAGCGCCAGGCCCCTGGGCGGTTTCGGGAGCGCCGGCCGCCGGTGCTTCGGCTCGAGGGCCGCCGCGGCGCGGAAGCGCGCCTCGCACTGCTTCGCGTGAAACCTCAAACCCGCGAGCGTCGCGAGCGTCTTCCCGCAGACGTGGCACGCGGGGCTCAGGGCGTGGGCCGCCCGGGGCCGGTCGCCGTCGTCCGGCGGCGCGGTGAAGGCCTCGAGGAGCGCCGGGCAGCACGTCTTCGCGTGCTTGTCGCGGGCCTCGGGGTCCTCGAAGGTCCGCGCGCAGCCGTAGCACTTCGCCGCGCAGCTCTCCCGCCGGAGCCGCGCGGCCTCGGCCTCGTACTCGTCCGCGAGCGCCGGGTCACCGCGCGGCGGCGGCCACAGGTGGGGCGGCGGGAACTCCAACTTCCGCCGCGCGGTCGGCGGCAGCGCGTCGTTCTCGATGCGCCACCGCTTTTCGCAGGCGACGATGTGGCGCCCGACGCTCGCGGACCCGTAGCGCTTGCCGCAGATGAAGCAGGGCACCGTCGGGTCCGGCGCGCCGCTCGGGACGCGGTGGAACTCGGGCTCCGCGTCGCTCGCGTCCGCGTCGCTCAGCCGGTCGACGAATTCCGGGCAGCAGCGGTCGCAGTGCTTCTTCCGCGCCGCGAGGCGCTCGAAGCCCCGGCCGCAGCCCGGGCAGGCGTGGACCTGGCGCGGATCCTGGCGGCTCTCCTGGACCGCCGCGTTCCACGCGTCCAGCGCGGGGCCCGGCGCGCGCGGCAGCGGCAGGTCGGGCCAGGGCGGCGGCGGCCGCCGCTTGTCCGCGGGCCGCGTCGACTCCGCGGAGATCCAGGCCCGCTTGCAGCCGTCGAGGTGGCGCAGCAGGGACCCGAGGAGGGCGCGCTTCCCGCAGATCGGGCAGAGCGCCGCGGCGTCCTTCGGCGCCTTCGCCTCCTTGGCCCGTTTCAGGTCGTCCTGCTGCTTTCGCCACGCGGCGCCGTCGCCGCAGCGCCTGAAGTGGGCGTCGCGCCGCTCGCGGTCCGCGAAGGACCGGCCGCAGTTGTCGCAGGCGCAGACCGTGACGCCGTCGAAGATGGCCCGCGCGGCCGCGTTCCAGCCGTCGAGCAGCGCCGCGGCGGCCGCGTCCGCGGCGGCCGCGGCGCCGCCGTCGACGTCGTCGGGGGCCATGTTTCGTCGCGCGTAGTAGTCGTGGTCGCCCGGCGGCTTCGGCAGGTCCGGCCCCCTGGGCCGCGGGCGCATGGGCTCGGACACGGGCCGCGCGCGCTCCGCGAGGTCCCACCGCGTCTTGCACCGCGCGAGGTGCCTGTGAATCAAATCTTCAAGCTGACTTCAATGTGTGCGCAATCGACGGTTTGGACCAAACTCTTTCGCCGTGCTTCGAGAACTCGACGAGGGCAATCGATTCGTCCAAAAATCAGCCGAATCGACTTCGACTTGACCGAGATAGAGAGTTCTGAAGTTTGGTGGGGACCCTCCGAACCAGTGGTTGATTTCCACACAGCGAGGTGCCGCCGCAGCGACCCCACGAGGCAGGGCTTCCCGCAGAGGTAGCAGACGGCGCCGTGGGGCTCCAGGCACACGGCGTCGCTGCGCGCCGCGCCGCTCTTGCCGTCGACCCAGGGCGGCGCGGGCGCGGGCGGCCGCGGCGACGGCGGCGCCTCGGCCTCCTCCTCGAGCGCGCAGCGCCGCTCGTGGCTCGCGCGGGCGTCGGGGTCCGCGAAGCGCCGGCCGCAGTGGCGGCACTGGGCCCGGCGGCCCCGGCGGCTCGTGGTCACGTAGACGCGCGCGGCGAGCACGTTGTACGCGTCCAACGCCGCGCGGTGCGCGGCCTTGGCCTCCGAGTCCAGCCGGTCCTCCTCGACGGCGACGGGCAGGTCCGTCGGCGGCGGCGGGAGCGGCAGCCGCTGCGCCTCGGGCCGCAGTTTCTCCGCGAAGACCCAGCGCGCCTCGCACTTGTCGAGGTGGTGGTCCAGCGACGCGACGAAAGCCGCGGAGCCGCAGAGGTGGCAGACCGCGGCCTTCGTGCCCACGGCCTTCAGACAGGAGTTCACGGCGGGGTCGACGTCGACGGCGAAGACGTGGTCCGGCCGATCGGTCTGGTCGCCGCCCCAGGCCTTGGCGCCGAGCACGGACGGCGCCGTCCGATCGTCGAAGACCGCGCCCGCGCCGGGCGGCCGCTGCTTCGTCGGCGGCCCGCCGAGGCAGCGCTTCGCGTGGGCGTCGCGCGCGGCGACGGACGCGAAGCGCCGGTCGCACTGGCCGCAGCGCGGCAGCGACTCCGTGAAGGCGACCTTGGCCGCCGCGTTCCACGCGCGGATCGCCGCGGCGTCGGACGCGGCGTCGGGCACGGCGACCTTCGGCGCCACGGGGACGGCCGTCGCGGCCTCGCCGGCCTCGAGCTCGAGGCGGTGCGCGGCCTCGGCGAGGCGCTCGCACTTGGCGAGGTGGAGCCGCAGCGACGACGCCGACAGCACGCGCTGGCCGCAGATGTAGCAGATGCAGCGGCCCCGCTCGTCGTCGGGGTCGCCATCCTTCTTCGGCGGGGCCGCGTGGCGCGGCCGCGTCGACTTCCGGAGGCAGTGCTCGAGGTGCGCGCCGAGCGCCAACTCGTCCGGGAAGCTCTCGAGGCAGACGGGGCAGCTCTGCGACATTAGCTCATCGTCTCATTTTTGACGGGGCAGCTCTGCGACATTAGCTCATCGTCTCATGATTTTGAACAGTTGAGCGGCTTGTTGTAGTTCAATTGTGACTTATTGTACGTTCGTTCGGCTGTGTCCAGGTCTGACATCATGGGGCTGCGTGTGATGCTTGCGCTCCTCGCGCAGGCGTCGGCCCTCGACGCCGTGACGAAGACCCGCGCGCGCGCGGCGTCGCTGGCGCGGGAGTCGCGCGTGCCCGGCACGCTCGTGCGGGCCATCGCCAGGAACCCGGCCTACGAGGCGCCGCCGCGGGCGCCCCGCCTCGCGCCGGCCGGCGTCGACGTCGGCGTGACCATCACGGGCTGCGGCGGGCTCTACACCTACCTCTTCGGCGTCGCGGCCCACATCCAGGCGCACTTCGACCTGTCCGGCGCGGCCTTCGCGTCCGCGTCCGCGGGCGCGTTCCCGGCGTTTCTGCTCGCGACGGGCATCGACGTCGAGCGCTTCCACCGGACGCACAACAAAGAGCTGCTGCGCGACGCCCACGCGCGGGCGCCGGACCCGCTCTCGGCGCGGCGGCCGGACCTCGCGGGGCGCCTCGGACCGCTCCTGTGCTGGAACGGCCTCGTGAAGCACCACTTTTCGGCGGCGCTGCGCGCGAACCTCGGCGACGAGGGCCACGCGGCGCTGCGCGGCCGCCACGCCGTGTCCATCACCCAGGTCGTGCGCGACGACGGCGACGCGCCCTGGCGGCTGCGGAACGCGCTCGTCGACGACTACGCGTCCGTCGACGAGCTCGTCGACGCGTACATCGCGTCGGCGTACGTCCCGCTCTACGACCGCCGCGCGGAGCCGACGACGCGCTTCCGCGGCGACCGAAGCTTCGACGGCGGCATCACGGACAACGCGCCGCGGCCCTACGACGACGTCGACTGCCTCGTGCTGTCGCCGTCGAAGTGGCGCGACCACCTGTGTGGAAATCAACCACTGGTTTGGGGGGTCCCCACCAAACTTCAGAACTCTCTATCTCAATCAAATCGAAGTCGATTCGGCTGATTTTTGGACGAATCGATTGCTCTCAGCGAGTTCTCGAAGCACGGTGGAAGTGCTCGTATCAAAACATTCGAATACGCGCACATTGAAGTCGGGTTGAAGATTTGATTTGCACACAGGCGACCACGGCACGACGCTGCCCATCCCCCTCGTCAACTCGGACTGGGACTGGTGCGACGCCAAATTTGAGCTCGGCAAGCGCGACGCCGCGGCCCACCACGACGAGATCGCGCGCGTCCTAAAGCCCCTGTAGCGCGCCGTTGCTGCTACGTGGAGCGCGAGGTCGCATCGACCTTAGACGGTCCGCGTCCGCTGCAGGGGCGCCGTGCCGTCCTTCTCCTCCGAGTCGTCGTCCGGCGTCACCTCGACGTGGATGTTGCGCAGGGACGGCGACAAGGGGAGCGGGTCGCTCGCCGCCGGCGGCGGGTAGTCGGGCGGCGGCGGCGGCCAGGGGATCGCGACCTCGTCGTCGCCGGGGCTCCGCGGCGACAGGAACAGGCCGTCGTCGTCGTCCTCCTCCTCCTCGTCCATGGCCGAGAAGAAGTCGACGTCGCCGCGGTAGGCCGCGTCGAGGCGCATGGACACGCGGCGGCGCTCCGCGCGCGACGCCTCGTGGGGCCGCCGCGCGTCCGGCAGCCGCGACAGGCGATGGAGCGACGACATCATCGCGGATTTCCGCGCGACGTCGTCGGCGGTCTCCGGCGTCGACAGGGGCACGAGGGGCCGCCGCCGCCGGTCGCTGTCCGCGACGTCGAAGGTCACCTTCCGGCCCTCGGCCGGCGCGGGCGACTCGGGCTCCGCGGGCACCGCCGCGAGCAGCGGGTCGCCGTCGTGCAGCAGGCTCTCGAGCTCCGCGTCCGCGTCGAGGTGGCCCTGGTCGCGCAGCGCCGGCTGCGTGTACAGGTTCGACTCGAAGCGCGCGTCGACGGACGCGGCGACGTGCCGGTCCTTCGTCACGGCCTCGTCGAGCGCGACGCCCACGGACGGCGCGCCGTAGGCCTCCTCCGCGAACTCGCGAAAATACAGCACGAGGAGCGGCAGGGGCGACACGAGGAGCGCGTAGCCCACGAGGCTCCGCGCCAGGAGCCAGAAGAAGAGGATCGCGTTGGACACGAGCACGCCGAAGAGCACGCGCTCGACCATGCGGTAGTAGAAGCGCCCCCCCGACTCGTAGACGGGCATGTGCACGAAGAGGATGAGGTAGCGGAACGCGAAGGAGATGAGCGAGAAGTAGACCAGCGAGATGACGCTCAGCAGCGGCGCGAAGACCCAGAACGTCGAGAAGATCGTGAACGTCATCATGACCTTGGGGAACGCCCAGCCGTACATCATGCCCGGCAGCTCCGGCGGCTGCACCGTCCAGGTCTTGAAGCCCCGCGAGATGAGGGGCCAGGCGCGCAACAGCCAGAGCGGCGACGAGCCGCACTGGAACACGATCAGCTTCGCGAAGTAGAACGCGGCCTCGGGCGTGTCGAGGCCGATGCGCCGCACGAACGTGAACGGCGACTCCCAGGCGCCCTTCAAATCGCTCAGGATCGCCGTCGAGAGGATGGACACGTAGACGTTGATGAACTGGAAGCGGAAGAAGCGCTCGACGACGCTCAGGTCGACCTCCGAGTGCGCCTTGAGCCGCTCGTAGAACCGCGCGATGAGCTGGAAAAACAGGGGCAGCAGGTTGATGATGGACAGGAGCACGATGACCGGGAGGATGGACGCGATGGCCTGGGAGATCGTCGACGCCGGGTCGAAGCCGAGGTAGGCCAGGATCTGCGTCGACGACGCGCAGAAGGACACGACGGACGCCCAGAAGACGACGAGCGTGAGGATCGCGCCGTTGACGACCCACTGGCGCCGGCTCACGGACTCGGCGCTCACGTAGACGTTCTCCCAGATGACGTCCCGCGGCTCCGGCGCCTCGCCCGCCTCCATGGCGAAGGGCTGCGCGGCGAGGAGCGCGTTCGTCGCGAGGAGCTTGGCCGTGGGCCGCGTGAACGTCACCTGTGCCGAATTCAAATCTTCAACCCGACTTCAATGTGAGCGTTTGCGACAGTTTCGACGCAAGCGCTTTGGCCGTGCTTCGAGAAGTCGACGAGAGCAATCGATTCGTCCAAAAATCAGCCGAATCGACTTCGATGTGACCGAGCTCGAGAATTCTGAAGTTTGGTCGGGACCACCCAAACCAGCGGTCGAATTCGGCACAGAACGCCACGAACGCCGTGCCGCTCGGCGCGAAGGACGCGTCGCGGCCCCCGACGATGCCCGCCGTCGCCAGCAGCGTCTCCTTCTCGCCGCCGCACAGGTAGTCGCGGAAGATGGCGAAGAGGCCCGCCTTGGCGACGCCGTAGTACGTGGGCAGCGTGACGTTGCGGTTGTGGTCCGCCCACCGGACGACGCGGCGCCAGATGTGGGGCAGCGACGCCCGCAGGGGCTCGGCCCCGAGCACGGCCATCCAGTGCCGCTCGGCGGCCTGGCCGCCCATGATGCGGTGCCGCTGGCGCTCGTGGCGCTTCCGCGACCGGACCTCGCTCCGGCGCTGCGACGCCCACGTCCTGCCCCGCTCCGGCGACGACGCCTTGCCGCCCGCCTGCTCCGGCGACTCCGTCGGCCGCTCCTCGTCGTCGTCGCTCGAGACCTCGTCGTCGACGCGCCAGAAGCAGCCGCGCCAGTTCCGCTTCGACCCCAGCGACTTCTCGCGGCGCGCGCGCTGGCCGTGGAGCTCCGCGGCGGCCATCTTCGCGAAGTGCTCGCGCAGGATCGCCTGGTTCAGCTCGGCGACGAGCTGCTCGTAGTAGGGGATGCTGTGCACGAAGTAGCCGTCGCACGCCTCCGAGTAGCCGTAGAGGCAGCCGCACGCGGGCCCGCAGCCCGGGCAGTTGACGTGGCGCGGGATCGCGTCGACGGCCTCGCGCCGCCGCACGGCGGGCAGGGCGAGGCGCCACGTCGGCTGGGCCTCGACGATGGCCTCGTCGCCGGACGCGACGGAGCTCGCCGCGTCCTCGAGGCTCTCGACGGCCATCGACTCGACGCGCGAGATCGTGTTCGTCCGCGCGCGCCGCTGCGTCTTGGCGATCTCGCCGCCGGCCGTCGCGTAGAGCGCGCCGTGGTCCTCCGTGACCTGCTCGTCGAGGCCGATGAGGTCCGCCTCCGGAGCGTCGTCTCGCGGCTCGTCGTTCTTGCACGCGAACTTCTCGAACCAGGGCACGTGCACCGACGACCCGCGGCGCTTCCGCGGCGACTCCGGGTCGCTGTCGCTCCGGAAGCCGAACCAGGTGCCGGCCCGCGCGCGGTCGTCGCCCGCGGCCGCGCGCGCGTCGAGCGCTTTCCGCAGCCGCGCGTCCGCGTCCGCCGCGAGCCTGTGTGGAATTCAAATCTTCAACCCGACTTCAATGTGCGCATATGCGACAGTTTCGACGCAAGCTCTTCGGCTGCGCTTCGAGAACTTGACGAGAGCAATCGATTCGTCCAAAAATCAGCCGAATCGACTTCGATGTGACCGAGCTAGAGAATTCTGAAGTTTGGTCAGGACCACCCAAACCAGTGGTTGAATTCCACACGGCCGCGAGCTTCGCGCGCTTCGAGATCGCGTCCTCGAGGGCGTCCTGGGCCTTGTTGCGCTGGGCGCAGAGGCCGTCCAGGTCCTTGAGCCCGTCGACCATGACGTGCGCGCTGTGCACGGAGCCGGGGCCGCACAGCTTCTCGAACTTCTTCTTCACCCGGTCCATGGTCCGGAGACCCTCGGGCAGGTTCTCGACCTTGACCGTCAGGGCGCGCTGGGCCTCGATGCCCGGGGCGCGCCGGCTCAGGCCCGACGTGAGGTACCAGTGGCGCAGGTGGACGAACTGCTGGTAGTTCTCCGCGAGCTTCGCCAGCGCTCGGAGCGTGAACAACCACGCGCACGCCACCACCAGCGCGAAGCGGAACTGGGAGCGGCCGTTGCGGCACTCGGGGAAGAGGGGGTTCTCGCCGAGCTCCTCGGCGACGTCGAAGCGGCACCGGATGTTCTGGACCGTCGTCTCGGAGAAGGACCACTCGCGCGCGTGTTCGCCGTCGTCGTCGCCGCCTCCCGCGTAGAGGCCCCGGCCCGTGTGGTAGGCCGGCACGAGCACGAGCAGGCCGACGACGGACGCGAAGAGGCACTGGTCCGTGGCGAAGCGCAGGAAGTAGATCATGACGAGGCCGTCGACGCCGCCGTACATCAGAAAGTCCTCGTCGCTCCAGAGCTTCATGACCGCGACGACCCATTTGAAGAGCCCCCGCCCCGGCGGCGGCGGCGTCCGGTCCTTGTAGGCCGCGTGGTGCAGCCGCGGCTCGTAGACCCACCAGAGCCGCGTGCGCACGAAGTCGAAGACGAGGAGCAGGACGATGAAGAGGATGACGGCGACGATGATGCTGAAGTAGATGCGGTCCCCCTCCATGCCGTCGTCGTCGTCGTCGCCGCTCGCCTCGGAGGTCGTGCGGTTCATGCCCATCATCATCGTCGCCGCCGCCGTCGCGTTGGCGCACGGCATGGCGCGCGCTGCCCCGGGGGCTGCGCCCCACCTCGTCCCGCGGCACCGGCGCGGCACCGTCATTTCATTGACGTGGGACGCGATGGGAAGGCCGCTGCGGCGGGCAGCCCTCGCCGCCTGCTGGCTCGCCGCCGCCTTCGAGCTGCCGTCGGACGCGCCGCCCTGCGTCGTCGAGCTGCCGGGCGTCGGCCTCGTCGCGACGCAGGTCGACCTCGTGAGCCCGACGCACCGGTCGCGCTGGCCGCTCGGCGACCCCGTGCCGCTGTCGTTCCTCGTCGAGGTGCAGCCCTCGGAGCTGGCGGCCTACGACGGCCTCCTCTTCTGCGCGGGGCTCGACGGCGAGGCGCCCAAGTGCGCGCCGCTGGGCCGCATCGCGCCTGCGCCGCTCCGCGGCCTCGAAGCGGGCGAGCACGCCGTCGAGGCCTACCTCGTCGTCGACGACGAGCGGCGCACGCGCGTCGACTGCAACCTGCGCGACCACGACGCCGTGACCTTCTTCGTCGACGAGGCGCCGCCGCCGTTCCCGCTGCGCGTCGTCGCGCCCGCGGACCGGGCCCACGCGCGGCCCCGGAGTTTTTTAGGAGCGGGGGCGGCGCGCGCCGCGACCGCGCCGTCCGCAGGTGCGCGGGCCCCAGGTCGTCGTGCGCATCGAGGCCGCCGGCGCCTGCCCCGCGGCCGTCGACGCGCGCCTGCGCCACGCGGAGTCCGGCGCGACGGTCGACGCGCAGTGCCTCGAGTACAAAGGCGCGTTCGAGTGCGTCGCCGCCGTCGCCGAGCCGGGCATCTACGAGGTTTTTGCGCTCCTCGGCGACGGCGGCGACGTCGCGTCGGCGCCGCGCCACGAGGTCCGCGTCTTCGGGGCCTTTGGGACCGCGGCGGCGTCGCTCGTCGCGGTCACGGCCGCGGACGACGGCTACTTCCGGCGCCTCTCGAACCTCGTCGGCTCGCTCCACTTCTGGGAGCCGGGGCTCGCCGTCGACTTCTACGACCTGGGGCTGGCGCCGGCGCACGCGGCCGCCGCGCGGGGCTGGGCCGACGTGCGCGTCCGGCGCCTGCCGAAGCGCGGCGCGCCGGGCGGCCTCCCGGCCCACGTCTACGACGAGGTCCACCTCGTCGGCTGGAAGTTCTGGGTCGTGCTCGACGCCCTCGAGCGCGACGCGCGCGTGCTGTGGCTCGACGCGAACGCGGAGCTCCGGCGGCCGCTCGACGCCGTCCGCGCCGGGGCCGCGAAAGGGCGTATCGCTTCAACGCGAGTGTGCCGCGCGCGCGCGCGTTCCAGAGAACACATCCACGCGCCGAGAGATGATCGCTCGTCCAAAAATCAGCCGAAACGAGTGGGAACCGGCCGAGCGAGGAAGTCGGGAACGTCGCGCCCTTTCGCCGCCCAGGTCCGCGCGGCGCTCGACGCGGACGGCCACTTCTTCACCGTCGCCGGTGCGTGTCGCTTTTCTTTTTGGGAGCTTGTGAACGTTTCCTCTAGGCCACCGCTTCCCGACGACGAAGACGACGCGGCCCGCGACGACGCGCGCGCTCGGCTGCCGCGCGCGCCCGGCGGAGTTCATGGAGTGCACGTCGGCCTACCTCGGCCTCGCGCGGGGGTCCAAGGCCCACTACTCGCTGCTCCCCCTCGCCCAGAGCTGCGCCTTCGTCCGCGACTGTCCCCGCGCCGCGTCCCGGGGCGCCGCGGCCGCCCGGGGGGGGAACCGCGTTCCCGCCAGGCCTCTACCCGGCGGACGCGGTCAACAACACGAACAACCGGCGGGACCAGTCGGCCTTCAACGCGGCGCTCTGCGCGCTGCGGAACCGCGGCGACGACGACCTCTTCTGCCGCGCGGACCGGCGCTTCTGGATGTGGAAGGGCCAGAGCGCGTTCGTGCCCGCGGACGACCCGGGCGACTGGAACGACATGGTCCTCTACTCGCGCCGCGGCCGCGGGGCGGCCTACGTGCCCCGGGGCGGGGGGTAAAAGGGGTTCGTGGGGGTTGGGGGCGTCCTTTCCCCCGGGGCAGCCTTTTCCCCCTCAACGGCTTTCGTTCGCCGCAAAGCGGGAAAAGTTCCCTCAGTTCCAGAACACTCGGTGACCCGATTACGTACACTAATTCTGGCACCTGGTTGACGCAGGGAGAGAGAGAGTTCACTGGCCCGAAATTCGTTGGTTGAGGTCCTTGATTCCAATCCGCGTCTAAATGTCGAAAAGAATGAGGCCGACCGTGCGACTTTGACGCTTTTTGGATATAAAGGGCAAGCTGGCCCCAAAATTGGAGTGTGTTTCGCGCAATTGCATTCTGTAGAGGGAACTTGTGCAGGCCTGCTTGCAGACCGCGCGCCCACCGCGCCCCAAAGCGCCGCCAACTCGCGCGTCCCTCCCGCCAACCTCCGCTCGCCCGCGCTCGACGCGCCCGCTTTTTTTGGGCCCATGTACCTCCAGCTCCAGCGCATCAAGCGCGCCGGCGCCTGCGACGACCTCAACGACTGCGAGCCCGGCGGCCTCTTCGCCGTCGACGAGGCGTCCCTGGCCGTCGACGAGCCCTACATGTCCCTCGCGGAGCGCGCCCTGCACCGGCGCCTCCGCGGCAGCCCCGCGGCGCCGTCCGTCGCGTCCGTCCTCGGAAAGCGGCGCCCGAGCCGCGACGTCGAGCCCGACTCGCCCAAGACGCCGGGCAGCCCCGGCGTCGCGGCCTTCGCGCGCTCCTTCGCCGCCGCCGCGCGCAAGCGCCAGGCGCTCCGCCTCGGCAAGCTCGCGACGGGCGGCGCGCCCGCCGCGGCGCCGCGCGTCGCGGCGGCGGCGGCGCCGCCGCCGCCGCCCGCCGTCGACGAGCCGTCGCCGCGGCTCATGGCCAAGGCCAAGCCCTGCGCGGCGACCATCGCCCTCGCCGACATCCGAAACCTCGCCATCACCGCCTAGCCGCGCCAATTCACCCGCACCCGAACCGGCGCGCCCGCATCGCCGCCGCGTGTACGAGCCCCAAAACGGCTCTGTTCTAATACTGTTGTTGTGCCCGCGTCGCTCTCTGGGGGTGCGGCCGTCGGAGTCGTCCGGGGCGTCGCGGTGTACGGGCGCGGATCGCGGCGCGAAGGCGCGTTCTCGCAACTTTCTTGAGCGATTTACGTACGACTCGAAATCTTGATTTTCCAGTATCTTGAGCTGGCGCAGAGTCGATGATGTTACCAAGTTATTGAAGGGAAACGCGGAGGACGTTGAGGCTACGTTGATGATAGCTGAGCCCGGACCGCTCCGGCGCGTTCCCGGTTGGCCTCGCACAAGGCCTCCAGCCGCGGCGCGGCGTGCCGCACCGCCGCCCGCCACACCTATACGAACCATGCGCGCCCTCACGGAGGAACAGCAAGCCGCGGTGGACTACCGCTTCGACGCGCCCTTGGCCATCGTCGCGGGCGCGGGCTCGGGGAAGACGGAGACGCTGACGCGGCGCGTCGCGCGCGCCATCTCGTCCGGCGCGCGGCCCGAGGGCGTGCTCGTCCTCACGTTCTCGAACAAGGCCGCGCGCGAGCTCCGGGGCCGGCTCGCGAAGCACCTCGGCGAGGCCGTCGCGGCGCGCGTCGAGTGCGCGACGTTCCACTCGTTCTGCCTGCGCCTGCTCCGGCGCTTCGGCCGCGAGGCGGGCCTGGGGCCCGACTTCTCCATCTTCGGGGACGCGGCGCAGCGCGCGCTCGTGAAGCTGTGCTGCGCGGCGGCCGGCGACGACGACGACGCCGTCGAGCGCGACGCGCGGCAGGTCTGGTCGCTGATCAAGCGCGCCAAGAGCAGCCGGCTGCGCGCGGGCGACTTCGACGGCCGCGTCGGCGCCATCTTCCGCGCCTACAGCGCCAAGCTCCGGGAGCAGCGGGCCGTGGACTTCGACGACGTCATCGACGTCGCCGCGGGTTTGCTCGCGCGCGACGGGCCCTGCCGGTCCTGGGCGCGCGGCCGCTTCGCCCTGGGCTTCGTCGACGAGTTCCAGGACACGTCGGAGCTGCAGCTCGCGCTTTTAGATGGTGTCTTCGGCCTGGAACGCACGCCGCTGACCGTCGTCGGCGACGACGACCAGGCGATCTACAGCTGGCGCGACGCCATGGGCGACGCGTTCGGGTCCTTCGCGCGCCGCTTCCCCGGGGCGACGCTGCTGCGGCTGACGCGCAACTACCGGTCCGGGGGCCACGTCGTCTCCGCGGCGCGGGCCGTCGTCGCGGCGAACGCCGCGCGCGTCGACAAGGCGCTCTGGACGGCGCGGCCCGACGGCAGCAAGCTCGAGATCCTGCGCGTCGAGGGCGGGCCGGGCGCCGAGGCGCGCGCGGCGGCGCGGGAGGTCGCAAAGCTCCTGGACGCGGGCGCGAAGCCCCGCGACGTCGCGGTGCTCTGCCGCTCCGCGGCGCCGGCGCTGCGCTGCGCGGAGAACGCGCTGACGAAGCTCGGCGTGCCGTGCCAGATCGCGGGCTCGAACCGCTTCTTCGAGCGCGCGCCCGTGGCCGCGGCGCTGGCGCACCTGCGGCTCGTCGCCAACGAGCTCGACGACGACGCCTGCGCGAAGTGCCTCGCCGAGGGCTGCCGGGGCCTGGGCGCCAAGTCCGTCGAGGCGCTGCGGAGGGGCGGCGGCCCGCTCCTGGGCGCGTGCCGGACGGCCGCCGCGCGGGGGACGCTGGCGCCGCAGCAGACCGCGGCGCTTTGGGTGTTGCTGGCGCGCCTCGACGCGCTCTACGACGCCGTCGCGTCGCGGGCCGCGTCGGCGTCGCCCGTGCGATCGGCGCTCCGGCTCCTCGACGACGTTTTGGCGCCGCCCGTCGACGGCGGCGACGCGAAGAAGCGCGAGGAGCGGCGCACGGCGCGGGACTTACTCGAAGAACTGCGCGGCGTCGCCGGCGAGCGCGAGCGGGAGCTCGAGGCGGCGGCGCCGGGGCTCGACGCGTTGCGCCACTTCCTCGACACGGCCATGGTCGCGCCCGACGCGTCCGAGGGCGTCGGCGACGCCGTCGGCACCGTGACGCTCTGCACGATCCACAAGTCCAAGGGCCTCGAGTGGCCCCACGTGCTGCTCCTGCGGGCGACGGACGGCGTCTTCCCCGCGCGGCTCCGCGACGCCGCGGGCGACGCGGCCGCGGGCTCGCTCAACGGGTCGCCGAGCCGGCTCCGGCGCCGCGACGAGGCCGCGCACCTCGAGGAGGAGCGGCGCCTGTTCCACGTCGCGATCACGCGCGCGGAGCGCACCTTCGCGGCGCTCCACGCGACGCGCGAGGCCGACGGCAACGGCGGCGACGCGGGCGCGGGCGCGTCGGCGCAGCGGTCGCCGTTCCTCGACCTGCTGCCGAAGGCCGCGGTGTCCGCGCGCGCCGTCGGCGCCGAGGAGGACGAGTTCCCGCGGCACCGGGCTCGGGCGCCGGGGTTCGCGGCGGCGGCG